GTTTAATATCTCGGAAACCGTAGCAGCACAAACGCTAATTTTACCTGCACAAATCTGCACAAACGTAGCACTAACCGCTCCGCCTATTTGCCTTTACGTTTCAAGTGGGTGGGGGGTCAGCTTCACTCTGCTGGTGGAGCGTCAGCTTCACTCTGCTGTTCCAGGCTCGTAACCAGCGCGTTCTGCCGTCAAGGGCGATCATTGGTTAGATGTGATCATGTGACTGATGCAAGCCAGATCCTTTTATTTAGCAAAACTGTGATTAATAGTTAAATATTATTGTTGAGGGGCACAGACAGGACTCCGCACGCACACACACATTTAAAAAAAAATGTTTTTTTAAAGTTGCCTCAACAAAAGGGCACTTTGGGCACCCATCAGGAAAGGGGCGGGTGCTCAAGCCCCTCTAGCCCCCTCCCCCCTCTGCACGTGCCTGCTCTCTACCTCCTCAACTTTTATGTTATAAATGCAATTAAATCTTAAAGTCTGACAATGAAAGTCTTAAATATCCACACTGGCAATAAGTCAGTGCAGTTATAACTCAAGTTAATAATCCTGCTATTTCAAGTATTAAAAATTATGCTAGTTTGTCCAGTTAATTTAAGCCTCTGAAAAGGCGAGTCTGTGTAATCTCCAAACAGTTAATACAGTTTTTGTAAAAGCCCTTAAATTAAAGCTTAAAGTATGCACTTCAAATGCATATAGCTGTGCGTTTAAAATACACTATACACCACAAAACCTGCTTTTATCCAACAAACTGTACCAAACTGGAACTACACAGGTGCAGCTGTCTATTTTCCCACCACTTTAAACGTACTCATTCACAAATAATTTCATGAGCTCATTCTGAGACTCAGACATGAAGTTGGACTGAACTTACCAACAATGTTATTTTGTCTTTTGTAAAAGACAGTATCAGGAATATATATGGCACTACACAAAAATGTCTGTGTGGATGAGTAGGCTGGAAAAAAACACCATTAATGTTAACAGCTTTCATTTAATAACGTCTAACATTCTTACCAGTTATACAATACTTCTTTGTGTGTCAAAGAGCTTTTCAAAAAAATCAAAACAAAGAACATATATGTTTAAAGCACTTCTGGTAGTAAGATGAGGTCCAACCGAGTAGTAGTAACCTATTCTTAATTAAGTTTATGATTGCTGCCTTTTGCAGCACTGCAAATCCATCCTGTGTATCTTAATAGTGGTGATCATTTGGTAGCATTAACATCTTTTGGAGAACGTGGTGCAATGTTGCATCGACATAAGGTGATTTCACCTTCTCAAGAGGGTGGGGTGTTCAATACCGTCCTACTCACGCTCTGAGGAATTGAAACTGAAGAGCTGAACAAAGCCTATTTGACTTTCTGTCCTCCTGACACATCGTGTACTTCTTTCTTACGTCTCACCATGAAACTTCTTGGAGCTCTGATCCTGGTTTTGAGTTTGTCTGCAGGTAAGAGCAACTTATGATTTATTTGTCTTGTTCTTTACCAGATAATCAGATAATCACTGGTCCTTTCAGCTCTTCTAATTTTAAACCAAGATTTTTTTTTCCATTAAAAGTTTGATTTAAAATACACTATAGTCATGTACAGCAAGCTAATATTAATGAAGTTTATGATTGCTTCCTTTTGCAGTAAAGGAAATCCATCCATGTGCATCTTAAAACTAGTGATCATTTGGTAGCATTAACTTTTTTGTAAACATATTGCACAATGTTGCATCGGCACAACATTTAAATTACCTCCTAAACAAGGCAGGGTGTTCAGTACCATCCTACTCACTTTCTGAGGAATTGAAATTGAAGAGCTGAAACATTAAAAGTTTGATTTAAAATACACTATAGTCATGTACAGATGCAAAACTATTTTAAAAATTGCCTTTATAAATCAAATTATGGAGCTCACTGTATTTTGTAATAGAAACGGGAGATCCTGAAGGCCCTTTTACATATGACTGGTGCATTCTCTGAGCTGTGGTACCACAAACTTTATAAGAAGCCTTTTCTCTGAATGGAAAAAAAGCTTTTCTGGATCTCATTAAGACATCTGCAGTCTAATGGATGATGCTTTGTATTTGGAGAATCTTCATCTATGAATGACAGCTTTCTTTGTTTCTCTGCAGCATGTGGATTAAAATGCTACGTATGTGCACTCTCTGACCCTCACTCCTGCACTAATGCCTTAACTTGTCCTGCTGGTATGGACCGATGTTTCAGCCTTACTACAAGCGGTAAGTTGTTCTGCAGTGTATTAAGTGTTTAAAGCTGTAAATCATACATTTTATGAGCATAGCATTAGTTAAACTGAGGTTTTCCCATTATGTCTTACAGGTACCGTCACTAAGAGCTGCATAAACAGTGTCTCATGTGTTAGTCCTATGAGGTGCTGTGAAGGGAACTTGTGCAACAGTGCTATACCAACTGGTCCCAGTGCTATGCTCCTGCTGGTGTCTTCAGCCATAATCACCATCTTCCTCTGAAGCTCTGGAACAACTACATCTTAATTGTGTTTTACTTTGTTCTTAACCAAAAATTACAACCCAGGAATATTAAGCCATTTTTTAAATAATGTATGGATATTTCTTTTCAATAAAACCACAATAATGTATCAACTACTGAATTGTTTAATTCCTAGGATTCTGCAATTCACATCACTACAGCAGAAAGAATTTTTTGTGAGCTCTAACAGAAAGACAAACAGGACAGAAAAATAGACGTTATTGCGAGCAGATCAATCATTTATTTTTTTAGCTGTCTGATAAAGACTTATTTAATTACTTTTTACAGTTATTTCCACAAATGCAGAAATCACTTTTCCCACCCATTTGATGTGCTCACTCTGTGACTGAGATGACTCTTTCATAAGAGACGCATCAGGCATATACAGTGTTTGCAACTGTGAAAAACAGGTCTTTAAACATGAATAACCTGAAAAAGTCAACATTGATGCAAAAGTCAGGTAGGTGAATTTCACCTAGTCTGATCGCAGGTAAATACACATAAGTCATTCATGACAATACATACAGTACTTCTCTAGATGTCACACGAAAAACAAACATATACCATATGCATAAATAAAATTAAATATTTGTTCTTTGGCAGTCTACCTTCTAATTGTGCCAAGCACTCAATCACGGGAGGGGAGGGGGGGGGGCAACAACAACAAAATATTTTTACACAGAAAACTTTCCCTTTAACATTCACATCTGTTATGTCACGTTGATGATTTCACCATCACACCTAAAGCATCAAACAGTATGTGATCGCCAAATCCACTTATTGTGTTTTAAGTGAATGTCCTTTTAAAACCCTTCATAGATACATGTTATATTTTACATTTTGCGATCTAACCTATTTAACATAGGTTAGATTCTCACACAATCTCACACAAGCTTTCCTGGTTTCACAACAAAGATGACAAAGTAAGGTTACTAAAAAGAAGAACGAAATTATGTATGCATCCATTTACTTATTCGTTTGAAGAAATGCTGCTGTGTACTGTGTCAGTAAAAACCATTCTATGTAAAATTTTAACATTTCTTGTGGTAGGATCAAGAATGCAAGAAAAAAAAAACTTAAACACGGCCAATTTATAGGATTTATCATTTGTAAGTTGCTGTAATTCCAAGACAAATTCATATATAATAACACGGCTGTTTTCATTATTTTCAAGCAAGGCATTCAAATTACTTGGTGTGCTTTACTCTCATGCTGGCAATCACTATGAAAGAGCAGACAAACATTTAAACTCTTCATGCGCTTTGCAATGTCACTGCTTTGAAACACTGCATTAAAAACATCAATGTATGTAGAAATGTGTTTTATCCCTCTGGTTCTCTTTGCTAAGGTTGGCATACCATAGATTAGCTAATAAGGCAAATGAAGCCACAAGGCAGACATAGATGGCACACTAATATATGGCATCTTTGAGAATAATAACTGTTTTACAAGGTAAATCAGTTATAATAATAGAGTGCTGTGCAAAAGTCTTGAGCCACCCCTCATTTCTCTTTATTTTAAAGTTATGATTAGGAAATAGGACAGCAATTTACTGAAATTTGCAAACATACAGAGAAAAACCAACAAATACGGCAAAAACAGAGTTTGTACAATTCTACTAAGTTTGAAAGTCAGTATTTGGTACGACCACCTTTATTCTTTAACACCGCCTGAACTCTCTTAGGTAAGCTTTTGTGTCATTTCTTTAAGTAGTCTGCTGATCCCCAACACTACTGGCTAAAATATATCCCCCAACCCTGACAGTGACTTGACTGTGCTATAGACACTCGCCATTGTACTCTGTCTTCACCTCATCCGTAAATACCGTTGATGATTTGATCGCCCCCAAAAAATTTGGATTCATCACTCCGTCAGATTGCCACTGATTTTCAGTCCAATTCTTTTGTAATTAGACACACCTCAGCCTTTTCTCCCTATTTCTCTTGCTTAAGAATGGCTTCTTGACAGCCACCCTTTTACTGAGACCATTTCTGATAAGGCCTGAGTGAACAGTAGATGAAATGAAGCACAAATTTCTTAAGGACACAACTTAAGAAACAGAGATTGTTCATCCGCTGCCGACAGCTATTTATGTCTGTAATTTCTTTTGTCCGATTGTCCAGTTTCCCTTAATGTTTTTACGGACACACCGCACACCACCAAGTACCAAGTTTTCTCTTATAACCTTGGTGGTGCAAAAATAAAATTTTATGCCTGTCAAACTGTGTAAACCTTGGATTTTTGTTGATTCTGCTAAAAAAAACAAAAACGGAAATATTTATATGTTTTTGAGACCGGCTGGTAGCAAAACAGTCCCTAAGATACAGTTTAAAATTGGTTCCTTACAAAGTTGTCTGTGATAAACACAACAGTAGTTCATCCCTTGTGTTAGGTGTCTTCCTTTAAGCTCTAGTTATTCATAGGTCAGTGTTAAGTGGCTTCGCAAACAATAAACACTCATCTAAAAATAGTCAGCTACACGACTTGGGCTGAAAACAAGTAAAAGCCAAAATCCATAGAAAAAAAAAAATCTGAAAGACCTTCAGACAAGCCTGGACAACTATTGCCCAAAAAACACTTAAAAATTGCAAGAAAGTTTGGCTCCTTCGAATTAAAATAAGACAATGAGAAGCGGTGCAAGACTTTTGCACAGTAATGTATAACAAATATATTACTGTGGATCAATAATAAATATCTTTTAAATGTACCCTGAGCAGTTAAGTTGACTTGTGCAGACTTTTTTAATAAAAAGCATAAAGCAGTAGATTTTGGCACTAAAATAATATAATGGCACTATAGGTTATGGGACTTACTGACATAAAAGTATTTGCAGCTTATTGTTAACCCCTTTATTCATCCCCAGAATCGTGCATATTTAAAAACATCCAACAGTATCCACAAATAAAAATTAATAAATATAAAGAGCAATTAATCAAAAGACTGTAAAATGTAGATGTCAGTGCAATGCAAATTAATGCATGTTAGCTTAAAAAGTTAAAAACACAGACTTAAGTATGGCTATAGTGCATTTTTTTATTGCCTAACCCAGTCACCCCCAAAAAGACCCCCTAAATGGTACAGTTACTTCTATTAATAAGCTAATGGAAATAATATTAACCCAAAACTGCCGCCATGCTTGCTGTAGAGCTTTGGGCTTTGAGAAAAAACAAACAAACGCAGTATTAGATGGCCACTAAGGCTAAAAATGGTGATGATACAATCACAGATCGGATCTTCTATTGGCTGTGAAAGGCACACAAGGATGAGGATTAGCTTAAGGATGCAAAATGAGAATTAGAAGGTAATTCTAATTCTTTGGGCGGAGGGTTTTAATCTGCAGGCAGAAGTCCTGACAAAGAGCAGGATGGAAGAGACATGAGGTTAATCTTCATTAAAATGTCACTCTACTCTCAACTCAAGCTTCTGGTGGTGCCTCCCTGCTTTTACTTGGCATGTGTGCTCAAACTAATGTGTGCGGACGCGTGCGTGTGTGTGTCAGTCCGGTTTTCAATTCTTTAATGCCTTCAAAGAACCCTTGTAAAGAAAGCGATCTCATCCAGGTCCACAGGGTAATCAGTTAGGTACATGGGACCTTTATCATAATGTTCCCCCTTGTAGCTTTTCCATCGTCCTGCAGGCAAGTAGATATCCCTCTCTTGCTTTCCTGGCTCCAACACTGGCGCCACCATGAGGTCATCCCCAATCAGGAACTGGGAGTCGATCTTATAGGCAGCCTCATCATCATTGGCAATCCACCAGAGGGGCCTTATGATTGGGTCTCCTGTATCAAGAACCACGTGTGCCAATTCAAGAACTTTTGGTGCCACCAGAGTTTCATGGAGCCCTGTGAACTTCTGTGCTATCTTTACCACCTGCAGATGCACAAAGACATTGAGTTAGCATGGAGCAGATGCCACCTAACAGACAGCAGAGTAATAAAACCATCCACACGTCCTGCTTCAATTTATGCATCAAAGCACATAGAAAAAGAACTGACTTATTGTTTTTGACTTGTGATCAGTACTTGTATATTTTCTAGGAGAAATATTTGTTAATGAAAATGGCATTTTATTTATTCTTTTTTTTTTTTTGAGAAAAATCTGATTTTCTTTAGCGCTTTACAGTGTACGGGGGTCAGAAGAAGGTAAGGCAACATTCACTAAGCCTGAGAGACACAAGAAAATGTTTAAAGCTTCTAAACCTTGTGTACAGGGTAAGTTGACTTGGATGAGTATTTTTATATTAAAATCAACTCGGAGCCCACGTGGTCTTATAGCTGGACAGTCAGAGGGCATGATCTGGAATGCTTTTTAGAAATTAATCTTTCTGAAACCATGTTTACATCTCTAAAGTGCAAAACTGCTGTTAGAAGTATAAATCTTATCTGGGCATTCTTCTCTGTCATCCTGAGAGAGAGATTTTTGGTGTCCAGTAGGAGGACTTGGAAAAAAAAACTACTAACTGTTTTTGCTGCTGTATTGTTATTTGTTTTTACTTTTTTTTTTTAAATTTCTATCATGGTACACTACATGCTACATGTATTACAACACCACCCACTCTATACAAGATCTTACCACATGGAGTGATCATAAGAAAAGTAAAGAGACCACATTAAAGCATTTCATTATGCTGGATGGCCTAAAACAAATAGGTCAGGACTCACAGTGTTCCCACAGTGTGGTCAAGTATGTCATGAACTGAAAAGACTGGTACCTAGAAAATGTGTCAAGGAAGAGGCAGAAAAGAAAAGCTGACTGAAGTAGATGAAAGGCACCTCAAGATTTTAAGTGCTATAGACAAAAAGCAGACCACTGCTGATTTTCAGGCAGCGATAAATGCTTCTAGATCAGAGTATGAGGTTTCCAGAATGACCATAAACTGACGACTGAACAAATAGGAAGGAATTACTGAGCGCTGCAAACAGAAGCGTTTCAGATTTGCCAACAAGCACAAACACTGGACTAAAGATGACTGGAAGAAGGTACTCATACAGTCGTAAACATAAGAGTCCAAGTTTAAACTCTTTACTTCCGCAGAAGAGCTGAATAACATTTTGATGCGAGACTAGTTACGGTGTGAGTTTCCATTTCTGCAAATAGCATGGGGAAATTAGAGAACCAAAGAAGCGAAAGGTAGAAAGTGAATGCAGAAATATTCAGACATAGTGAGAGAGTGAATATTTCTTCATAGAATTCAAGGGGAAGTTTGATCTGCACTGAAACTGTGGCAGTTATGAAAGAGTATAATGTACAACGTCATTATGAAACCAAACATCAGGCCTATGCATCCTACACTGGTGCTGATCGAGTGCAGAAATTAAAGCAAAGGGTAGCTCTCCTGCAGGGTCAGCAACAGTATTTTTTTCGTGCACTCCTGTTATTAAGTCCAGTTCAGTCTGTTAATGTTGATAACGGTTTCAAACGAACGTTAATAGGTGTGTTGCTAAGCCTAATAACTTAAATAACAAACTTGAAATGTACCCGTCCCATTTTCCCCTTTATTGTTTTTTCTCTGTACTGTAAATCTTCTGTCTAAGAAGAAATCTGAGGCTGCTGTTCTGAGAATGAGCTACCAAAGCCTTTTCTGAATAAATCAATAAAGATCCATTTATGGAAAGTTGTGATGAAGGCAGTTTTGTCTTTAATTATATTCAACAATATAACATATTCGACCACTTTTAAGTGTTTTTTCTAACTTTAATACACTAAAGTTAAGGTTATATACCTAATTTCTAGTAAGTGGCCCAGCCCCTCCTATATTTTTATGTATGTGGCCCTTTGGCGCCCTCCTGTGGTAGTTTTCAAACACACCAAAAAGAATTTGAAGCAACAATTATTCTGTCATTTCTCTACAAGCAAACAAACAGCCGCTTCACGGTAATGTAAAGGTTAAGTTTAAGCGTCCCGTTCATTATTTAATCTGTAATTAGTATTTTGCACTACTGATACTGATAGAAGAAGAAAGATCATTTTTACACCAACTGTAAAATGTGTTGCAAAATTGTTACAAACCCTATTACAAATGTTGCAAAAGTGAGTATGTGTGATGTACACACACACACAATTTAGTAAATTTAAATGCAGGAAAAGCTAAGAGGCTACACACTGTAAAATACTTTTCTACATCTAAAATTCATCGCTTGCTTTATTTGGCTTACCTCATTGTCATAAGCCCATGGAGGTATGGAGAACTGCATGGCGGGCATAAAGGCAGACAGCTCCAACCATCTGATGTACAGTTCTCTGTCTGGCAGACCATTTAACCCACCTTAAACACAGATGAAAGACTGTCAGATAAAACCAGATCAGAGAAAATCTGTTTTTTTAACAGAGCTAACGCTCTTAAAAAGTTCAATACAAAACAAAGACAGCTTCTTCGTTAGCACTCATGCTCTTTTCAACACCAAAAATATTACTCAAGAGGACAGCAGCTGAAATATGAAATCCAAAGATGATGATACACAGATGCACATACCTGCAGTATGGTTCGGGTAGGCATTTCCTCCTATCATATCAGGTAAGACAAACTGGTAACCCAAAATGCCTATAGTCAGAACAGTAGGGATGATGGACTTGAGGCCGAGCTCGTAACCCCACACCGAGTCCCTGTCAATGATCCTGAAGAAGCAGGAGATGTTCTGACTCTGGTAACCAACCCTTAGCTCAGCATGCTCCATAAATGGTATAGCCATCTCTGTGTAGCGGCGGGTGAAGGTGGAAGGGTTTGACAGTGGGCCCAGGGTACTAAACTGACGGGGCAGGTAGCTCGTTTCTCCTGCATCAAACTTGAAGGAGGTCACCCCATAGCGACTTTTGAGCATGTGCAAGTTTGAGGAATACCATTCACGAGCGTCTGGGTTTGTGAAGTCCAAGATTCCTCCAATCCCGTTCCACCAGCGAACCAGAGCGGGCAGTTCACCGCCTGGCTCACGGACAAATAGCTCTTTCTCCACAGCTGCACCAAAATTTATGGAGTCATAGTTGATAAAAGGGTGCGTCCAGAGTGTAACTTGAAAGCCGCCCTCTCTTAGTTTGTCAAACATGCCGCTTGCATTGGGGAACTTCTGCGGGTCAAAGTCAAACTCTCCGTAATCTGCTGTGTAGCGGTCATCCAGCTCCAGATGGGAGCAGTTGAAGCCATGCCTAGTAATGTCAGCGGCATAGCGCAGCAGCTTCTCCTGAGTTACAGCGGTCTTGTAGATAGCCCATGTGGACCACACTGGTTTTTTGAACAAATCAGCAGATGGGACTTTGATAGGCTTTGTGAAATACCGGCGCACCTGAGAAAAGAACATGAATGATTAGGGGGAAAGAAAAGAACATGAAGTAAGTGATTTGAGATGTTTTTAAATGTGTGGTTATTGTCTTTCATTCAAGCCTGCACAGGCTTTGTGCTTGATTAAACAAGTGTAAGGAAATATGCCTACTGGCATCCTTACAATAACCAGATAAATTAGTTTAGGGGTTGCTTGGTCCCTTACAGCTTGAGAATTTCAGCTTTCCGTGTCAAGAAATAACCAACTACATAAGCCAATTTTTAGACTTTTTCTAAAGATTTTACAAACACACTATAAGATTATAATATTGATATCCTCATTAAGAAAGCATTTACAATTGGGGAAATCATTATTAATTCATAAGTTTGCTCTCTTACAAAGAAAAAACCTGAAAAAAAATCACTGCATAAAAGTTATAAATTGATTTGCAGGTTACAGAGTGAAATAAGTACTTAATACCCAAGAAAAATATGACTTAGTATTTGGAGGAGAAACCCTCCAAAGCACTGTCATGTCATCATTCACCAGGTTTGCACACATCTCAGGAGGGATTTTGGCCCACTCATCTTTACAGAAACACTCTTAATATTTTAGGTTTCTTGGCCTTCACTTGGCAACTCGAAGCTTCAGCTCCGTCCACAAATTTTTTAATAAAAGTCTAAGACTGGCCACGCCGAATCTTGACGTTTTGTACTTCTTTCGCCACACTATCTTTATCTTGATGCTATGTTGGAAGACCCATCCACAACCCATACGAAGTATCCTGACTGAGGGAAGTAGGTTCTCATCCAAGATTTTACAGTACATGGCCCTATCCATTGGCCCCTCAATGTGATGGAGTTGTCCTATATTCTCAGAAGAAAAACAGCCCCATAGCATAATCTTTCCACCTCCATGCTTCACGTAGGGAATGCTACTCTTTGGGTCATACCCAGTATCGCTCTTCCTCCAAACCCAGATATGTAAAGTTGATGCCAGAGAGCTTGATTTTAGTTTCATCTGACCACTGTGCATTTGCCCAGGCCTTCTCTCAATCATTTAGATGTTCACTTACAAAACTTGAGATGATCCTGTACATTTGCGTTCTTGACCAGGTGACCTTGCGGGCGCTTCAAGATTTCAATCCATTATAGCATAGTGTGTTGCCAGTGGTGACAGATCACAGCTTTGAGGTGATCCATCACCTCTCTTATGATAGTCCTCGCCCATGAGGCAAAATCTCCATGCTGAGGACATTGATGGTCATTTTATACTTTTTCTAATTGCACCAACAGTTGTAAACTTCTCCCCAAGCTTCCTACTGTAACTTATACCAGCCTTTCGTAGGTCAACAATCTTTGAAAGCCTTTGAGAACTCTTTGGTCTCGCCCATGGTGGTGGACAGGTTGGAAGAGAAGAAATTGATTCTGTGGACAGGTGTGCTTTATACACATAGTGAGTTGAGATCAGGAGTATCTGTAACTGTGACTTCAGGCTGGGTTGTAGGAGATTAAATACCTTTTTCACTCAATGACAAGCAAATCAATTTAGTCTGTAAATTTGATGTAATGTCCTTTTTTCTGGGGTTTTGATTGATATTCTGTCTCTCTCCATTAAAAATTAACTACAATAAAAATTAGAGGATTTCCATTTCTTTGGAAGTGAACAGACACTTAAATTCAACAGTAAATCAAAGAGTCATTTCCCCAACCTAAGTATATTTTCTGGAATTTTAAAGATTAAACCTGCTCTGCAGGGGAACAAAGAATTAATGGCAGTAGTATTAAATTAAAAATGCATATGCAGGATGGGACAAGTGTTTCTGGTCCAGTTATTTGTTGTACATCTGAGTATATATCCACTACACTTTAAATTGGCAGCTTTTAACATTATTAAATATTTGTCAAATATCCAGCATAATTACACTCACCATGTACTTGTGAATAGAGGTGACATCTGACCCCACACAGACTCTATAACTGAGTTCAGGAAAGGTCTGCTGTCTTTCTAGTGGTCTGAAGGGAGAGTCCTGGTACCGGGCCTGGAACCTCAGTGTCCTGTTCTTCTCTGACCAGCCCAAATGAAACGGTACTGAGTCGTTAATCTTAATGGCAGTTGCATTTGATGACAGCCAGTACCGCTCTAGAATTCCTCCAAAAGCATTTCGATTGGAGTAGACGTCACTTGTGATGAAAGGTCGTGGTTCCTCTTCTCCCTGAAATCTGATAGGCCAGTACTGTGTTGCCGTCTCTGCCCCTCCATACCAATGAGAGTCATTATAGGCCATGACATGCTCTACCAAGTGCTTATTCTGCAGCTCCTCCCAGCGAACCCGATAACAGATCACCGTGTCCTTTGGACGAACTGTTTGGATAAAAAAGTTGAGCTTGCCAGAATCCGACTGAGTGCAGCTCAGAATATCTCCCTCCTTTGAGCAAGAGTCCACATCCAGAGTACCAGACCTAAGATTAGGTGTTTAAAAGAAAGAAAACAAAGGGGCCAGTTAAACACAGTTGATATTATTTGTGTTTTAAAACAAATTAGTAGTAGTGCAACAACAAAGAAAATGTTGTAAGTTCTATTCCGTTGTTCTAGATGTCTGTGGAGTGATTGTTCTATAGCTATTTCTGTCGGTATGAACTCTGCTGGCAAAGGACACATCTATTACAGTCTTCCCTAAGGGTGTAATCATGTGTCTGTCTCGTCTGATTTTTCATCATCCATCCAAACACTGCAGACAGGCAGACTTAAAGCAGATACAAAGAAAAAGAACTCTGTCAAGACCAAAAGAAGTTACAAAGGCAATGAGTCCACGATTTGCTGGGACTTAGTTTCACAAGAGAAGTGTTTGTGGAGTGTCTTGATTTGGATTGCACAGACATTCCTTTGGTCCTTATCTCAGCTGTAAGATAAAATTATAACTAGTCATATTTATTACCCTTATAAGTAGCAGAGTTATTTTAGTTTTGTATTTTCTAATTCTAATTTCAAATTTTGTAATTCATCTTTTATTGATAAAAATGTTTAGCTTTAGTTTTTATTAGTTTCAGCATTAGTTTTAGTCTTTTAAATAGTGACTGAATGTAGGGCATATGCAAAAGGCACAAATTTAAAAAATCTGTAAAGGCGTAATAACAAATTTTAGCAAATTAAAATGCCAAAACTTATTTTAACTTTTAGTTAGTTTTCCAAGTTCATAAAATCAGTTTAATTACAGTTTTTTTTAAGTGTAGTATTTATTTCTATTTTATTTAACAAGGTCAGTTTTAGGTTTTGCTTTAGTTTTAGTTCATTAAAATAACCATGACTAGTAGGCAATCAGGCAATTCAAATAATTAAATTATTAATCAAAATGTATCTTGTTAAAGGAAACAAAAATCTGATGATTCTCTGTACAGTTTCCTAAGCATTAAAAGCATAGACAACAAGTCCAAAAAAGACAAAAATCAGCAAATTACCAATTATTAATTTAAAAATAATCAATAATATGAACCCACCTGAATGCCATAGTGAAGACAACAGCCCCAGCTTGGTTGTGAATAATAAAACCATCCTTGTTCAGGTCTAACAACGCTGTCTTGAACAACTGGGTTTTACGAAGCGACACTGAGTAATAGCACCAGGCGACCACAGCAGCTAGCACCAGCACACAGCCCAACATACTTGCCATCACCAGTGGCCGACCTTCATGAGAAAGTTTCTTCTTAAGTGGGGAGCCTCCGGGTCCCCCAGCCATCTGCTGCTCCCCAGGAGCCACCGGCACTATTTGATACATGCTGAAGGCGTGCGGGTTGGAAGAAGAGTGGCAGGAATGGACAGCTGTACTTAACTTGCTGTCAGAGCTTTTGAAACAGAAATATAAATCTGTGCACTGGCAGCTGTGGGAGTGAAGGGAAAACTGATGTCTACCTGCCAATCTTTAGGAATGTCTCCATTTCTGAAAAAGGGCTGATATATCTGCTCCTGTGAGACAGACAGACAGATGTTAGTTTAAACCACAACAAGTGTAAAAGAAACCCAAAAAAAACAATAGAAATAAAACACCATTAATATCATCATCACATCAAATAATGAATGGAAGCTAAATCAAGTTAAAGTGCTAAAAGAATAACAAGTAAATGAGGGCAGGACATAAATATTGATCAGTCTACCGCAGACTTCATCACACTGGCTAGCTAGCTAGCTAGCTAGCTATCTATCTATCTATCTATCTATCTATCTATCTATCTATCCATCCATCCATCCATCCATCCATCCATCCATCCATCCATCCATCCATCACTGCTGATGTTAGCTTAAAAGCGCTGTAGACAGGAAAAAAAACAAAAATGTCTTAGTGATGCATTAAAAATATTAGTTCATGCTGCAAAGGCATAATTTTCACACCAATCAAACCATCTTAGTGACCTGATTTTGCCTCATGGATGGGGGCAATATCATTATGGAAGAACTCACTGCAATCAGGATTTAAATTTAAATGCAATAACACTTCCCTCACAGAGACAAGTACACAAAAAACATGCCATCAAAATAATACCTCCCAAAGAACAACAATATTTAGAAATATGTGCAATAAAGAATTTAAAAGCACAATAGTTGTCTTTCAGGGTTTTAGAAATCACATCTGGATGCAGTCACAACCAATCAGCAGCATAGTTACAGGCTAAAGATGACAATTTTGAGCATAAGGGGTTACTGTTTTACCTTGAATTGTCTGTCACTGAACACTGTTTTTGTGTAGCATTACTGTATTGGCCCTGTACTGTCTCTACACTTGCTTTTATTATTATAGCATAGTTCAACAGCATCCAGCAGAGAGAGAGCGAGAGAGAGCACAGGGCTTTTAATCTGGTAAATGGCAGGTATCCAGGCTCTGCACAGGCACTCATGGTGAGAGAGCCAGCAAAACTGTAAAAACAGGCTGTGATCAGAGGAAGCGCAGACACCAAGTCAGCAGGATTCAATTACATTTACCTCAGGTAAGAGCACCTTTGGGATGAGTAAATAATAACCCTCAAACAGCTGTAGTGCAGCAAGCCCACAGTTTTCAGATTGATAAGAATGCAGTCATCACCAGCAGAACCATACTTAACTTCCCCACAGGTAAACATTATCCTTCAGCTCCACATCCTTCTTTTATTGTGATGCTATTTAATGCCAGTATCGCAAGGAGGAACCGAAATCTTGCAAAAATATTCCAGACACAGGGAAACATTTTCCTCTATATGTCAGCTTTCGCTCCAGTGAAGATCCTGTTCCTCATTTCTATGTAATTACTGACAAAACTGTACCATTGCTCAAATGTAGAATTAAGTTGAGAAAGCTCAACTTGGGATCCATTATAAATCAATTTATTCTATTAAGGGAACTTAACAATGAAGGCTGACCAGTCTTAAAATGTTAGAGATAATCAGTGCTTTTTAAGAAACCTAGCAATTAGTCTTGAAACTGTGGGCTGCAATCATATTAATCTTTAATGGCTATCGGAATGAAACGTATAACATTTTAAATTAGGCCACAGGGCCCGGTGCAGTACAACAGGCTCCATACTGCAGGTTATGCAGGGGTTTCTAAAAACATGCACATTAACTACACAGTGACTACGAACTGTTCAAGGCAAATACCTAAATTACAACAAACACTGAAAACGTCGTCATCTGACTTTCTGAAAGGATCCCAGTGGACACAGACGCCGTCCAACGACGTGTATGTTTACGTTATCTATCCACGCCCGCGTCAAGCTGGCGTGTAACCAACTAATCAAACACTTCCGATATCTGATCGATCCCCAACAAACACTCACTCGACTCGGCCGTTGACGCCGAGTTGGGATATTGCCGTAACAGTAACTCGCTCTACCAGTATTCACGAACTGATTCAGAAGACCGTGCTCACAATTAAAAGCTATACTCGCCATGACAGTAACACGCAAAAAAACGTTGTGTCACATACAAAACATTTTAACTGCTCTTAATAAAGCTGCGACCACAAAAATACATTCACCTTACCTCCACATCTGACCACACTCCGGGGTCAACGTCTGTGCGCGCGGAAGCCTGCGGTGCAGCGACAGAGGCGTAGTCCCACCCAAACGGAGCGAATGCGAAGCTGGTTTGTCAATCGATCTGTCATTCGTGTACAAGTTAGCGCGAAAGGATTCTGGGAAATGTAGTGTGAGAACAATATCGTCACAGAGCCAAAAAACAGCTTCAAATTTGTTTATTGCTGGCTGCGAACAATGTGAAACGCACAAGAGAAAGGCAAAATGAAGGGGTTATTTTGACTATCGTTAACGTTACTTTTAAATTATTATATTTTCCTTACCAAATTGTTGGTGCTAGCGTTGTCCGTGGAAACAATTCTAATCTCAAACGTTTCATTCAACTTGTAGTGAATGTGCGTGAGGATTGGAGGGGGTGTGTTATTGTTATTATTAGTATTTTGTATTTTTATTTTTTTTACGATGATTGTTTGTAACCACAGATTACCGTCTTCGACCCTGTGACAACAACAACTGGAGTACACTGCCTCACTTCCCGAACAGACCACAGAGGTGAGATCATCGAGAGCGAACAATAATGTTATTGTGGCTGTAAGAGGTTTTCTACCGCTGGGTGACAGCAACAAGCTATGAATAGCAGGGCAGCTGGACGACACGACCATGGCGAAGTAGTCGACTCTTGTCTTATTTTTATATCCGTGAGTTCTTTGATGTTCTAAATGTTTTTAAGTTTACTATGAACTGAGAACTAGAGATGTAGACATATATTTTATTTAATACCACACTGGCGAAATTCTGTCGTTACAGCAGCGCAAGGGACAGGGAAAAAAAGAAAAATAGAAAAACATAAATGAGAAAAATTGTCTACAAAAAAGCTAAAATATTATATTTGGTCAAATAAACCAAAATTTTCCTTTTTTTTTATATGTACATGAAGTTCAGTTGGAATAATAATATTATTGTATAGCCTGACTGCTGTACCACCAGTGTGAAAATCTACTAGATTACTATTTGACTAGTAGGCTAGCTAAAGTAAAATGTTTATAAAGAAGTAGCAGAGGTAAAATTTAACTCTGATTTATTTAAATGTTGACCTGCCTCTGAAATCCAAACAATTAGGAGACACAGAGTAACAGACACAAAGGAATGGTTGCTTTAAGGGAGAAGGCAAAGATAAAACTCAAAACAACCCTTGACTTTATTTCCAGGCAGAGGTCATAGACAGTAAACTCTAAGCAAGACCAAATTTTATACACAAAACAGGGGGGAAAAAAGGCAGTTGAAACTGACACCATGAAAAAACCCCAACAGAAATCTCAAACCATTTCTATGTAACTACAATTTTGTAAGAGAATTGTGAAATTTAAGTATTGTGAAATTTAAGTATTTAGTCATTGATTCCTTATTTCCTGCATATTCCCTGGAGAAAATCAAATGATATTAATAATAAAGAATAGAGAAGGTACTAGGCAGAGGCTTAAAAATATATGCATCTCCTGTGAGTCATCTGCACTGGCAAGACAATTCACCATCTAGGGATGTAGTTTAGCACAGCAGGGCAAGGTCAGACAAGACGGCACTTGAATTTTTCTATTTAAGAAAGAAAATGCAGCTCCCCTACACCCAGTCAGAAGGATCCAGCCCAGTGTATGACCTTCAAAACAGCCCACAGAATGAAAATGGAGCTTGTCTATTAAGTGGTTAGAAGTCAAGTGACTTTAAAGGTGACTCTTAATGTAATGCACAGCTTAGTAAGGCTGTGGTTAACCTGAAACAATTTGAATTAAAATTATTTATTTTGCAAGTTATTCTTTGTTTAATGGATATTTCTTTTCACAGTCATGTGAATAGAAAAGAATTGTAGGCATTCCTGTGGAAAAGCGAAGTGCATGTTACTGCTTCCTTAGGAATTAAGAGGTTAAGTAACACTTGATTAATTGAGCAGCAGGAAGTGGGAGCACCTCTAAGGAAGCAGAATGTTTAGCAGTTTGGAGCATTCAGATACGGTCTAACACAATGCTTCAACCTTCATAGGATTGGACACCGAAGCAAGAGAAACTCAGAGAAACTACAAAGAGCTCAAGGGCTAAATGTCAGGCTGTAGCATGTTAAATGTTAGAGTTCATGGCAGCACAATTAGAAGAAGACTGAACAAGGTGACTTCTGTAGAAGGGTTGCCAGGTGAAAGCCCCATCTCTAAAAAGAATATGGGAGCACACAGCATGTCCAAAGACAGATAACACCAAAATGGAGATGTTTGGCCATAATGCACTGCGCCATGTTTAATGAAAACCAAAACACGACATATCAGCACAAGCACCTCGTACCAGCTACCAAGAATGGCGAAGGAGGGGTATCAAAGGTATCCCCTTGGAATGGTTTAGGTCGTACCTCTCCAAGAGGACTTTTTCTGTGAGCCTTGATTATTTTATTTCTTCCCCAGCTCCTTTTACTTGTGGTGTCCCGCAGGGATCCGTATTAGGCCCAATTCTTTTTTCAATCTATATGTTGCCCCTAGGCCTAATCTTTAGGAAACATAACATCTGCTTTCACTCATATGCCGATGACACCAGATTTATCTTCGGTTTAATAAAAACACCTCTACGCCCATGGAATCGTTAGTCAAATGTCTCGGCGAAGTTAAAACCTGGATGGCCTCAAACTTTCTTACCTTCAACGAGGATAAAATAGAGGTAATTATTTTTGGACCAAGCTGTAATTTCAATGCCCCAGATTTGGACTTATGTAACCTAACATGTGCTGTTAAAACGCATGTAAAAAACCTGGGGGTTCTCTTGGATAGCAAACTTACATTTGAGAAACAAATTAATTCATCCAATGCGTTTTAGAATTAAATTCAAAATCTTACTTTTAACTTATAAAGTGCTAAATGGCCAGGCACCGGACTATTTGTCTGACCTTGTGCAGCTGTATACGCCCTCTAGAGCCCTTCGATCAAGTGATCACCTACTCCTTACTTTACATAAGTCTAGGATGGTTCATAGAGGAGATCGGGCATTTGCAGTTGTGGCACCGAAAATGTGGAACGATCTACCTCTCCACATTAGAAAGGCCCCAACTGTTACTCTTTTTAAATCGCATCTTAAAACATATTTTTTTACTCTGGCTTTCGAAACTGTGGGAGCGTTACCAATTCTTTTATCCTAATCTGTTTTTAATTATCAGTTGTTGTTAATGTCACTGTTTAATTGTTATGTTGTACAGCACTTTGGTCAACGCCCTGTTGTTATTAAATGTGCTTTATAAATGAATAAATGAAATGAAATGATGTATGGCTGTTTTGCCCTGGGCACCTTACAGTCATTTAGTCAAGCATGAACTCCTCTGTATACCAAAGTATTCTAGAGTCATCTGTCCGATAGCTAAAGCTTGCCCAAAACTGGGTCATGCAAAAGGACAATGATCCCAAGCACAGCAGCAAATCTCCAACAGAAGGGCTGAAAAAGAATCAAGGTTTTCATTTTTTGTGCTTTATTTTTTTAAAAGCTAGGACAAGACATGGACTCCAAATTGGTACCTTACCACAGTTCCACTTAATTGTGTGTGGTGATCGTGCTCAGCTCCGTTCAGTCTAGGATCCAGCATTTATAACAGAGGGACAAAAAAAGATATAGACTATTGCAAGGTGTTGCAATGACATGCAAAGTCCAGACTGAAATGCTGTGGCAGGACCTTAAAAGAGCTAACAAATGCCCACAAACCTCAATGAAAGCACTGTTGTAAAGAAGCGTGGGACAAAAATTCCTCCACAATGATTTGAGAGCCAGAAAAAGTCATACAGAAAACAAATACTTCAAGTTATGGTTGAGGTGGTTCTACAAGCTATTGACTCATGGGGTATACTTAGTTTCCCACAGGACTGGATAGTTTCACGTGAAATCTTTCTTTTTCATATGACTGTATGTGTGATGATGCTGATATTCTTTGTCTTACTATGCTAAATCTCTTTGGCTTTGATTGTTAGTCGGGGTTTTAGTGAAGCTCGAAGGTGCTTTTCACAGTTTTATTTTAAACTGATTAATCTAATGAATAATTGGCCAGGCGATCAACAATGAAAATTATTTTAATTTTTCATATTATTAAGGACATATTCATCAATTTATTTTTATTTTAAAGAAATAGCCAGAATGGTTCAAACACTATGCCAAATCATGGTTAAAGGGAAACAGCAGAAAATGTGATAGGAGTAATAGTATGACAGCAGCAGTAATTGTAAAAGTACCATTTCAATAAGAGCAACAGATGAAATGGTGATGACAGGGACAATGATATTTGGCAGCTGTGTTTCAGAAGCTTTCACTGGAGCCAAAGTGACTCATTCTGCTGCAGGAAAACTCAGCTGCAGAGGGAAGATGCCATTGATGCTGGTGTCCCTGCTCTGCTGTGTCACTGCAGCCAGGGCCTGTCTGCAGTGCGACCGCAGCATCCGAATGATGCACGAGGACTTCATCTTGTCTGCTCCCACTCTGCAAGACCAGCTCGACTTGCAAAGTATTTGTGACCAAGCCTATGTGACCTACATAGAGACCAGTCAGGAACGAAAGGGGGTCATTGGTGAGATCAAGAAACTGTTACATCGTAGTTCTTCTCTTCCAATAATGTCAGGCCAAAAATATAAATTTATAAATACTTATAAATAAACTAAAATATAAGTCTAAGGCAGTTAAAATGATCAAAATAAACCAAATAGCACTGTTTTTTTGCTCAGATCCCACTACTCTATACAGAGCCAAAACTGAATACCAGAGTGAATTTGATCGCTTCTTGAAAACCAAGCTCACTGGTGAGAAACAAAAAAAACAATCTATCATTCTTATTCTTTCCACTCAGAAATAAACAGTAGCTGTAAACGCACCCAAACACTCCAACATGTAGAAGGCCATTATTACTTTTCATTATATCATCACTGAAAGTATTAACATGTTAAAATGTCTTTTAAGGATCTATAACATTTGAAGCTGTTCAGATCATGGAGAAAGGCAGGAAGATTTTAGAGAAACATCTGGATGCTTTCGTCCCCAGTGGTAATTTGCATAACAGTCGGGGTTCTGCAAAGTATGAGGCAATAAACTTTTTGTAAGTC